CACTTTGGGAGGCTGAGGTGGCAGGATCACCTGAGGCCAGGAGTTCTGAGATAAGCCTGGGCAACACAGTGAGACCAGTCTGTATTTTAAAAAAAAGGGAATATTTCTTTCTAATTCCACAAACACCCTATACCCCTGAGGTGTTTCTTTACAGGTACCTAAGGCAGGAAACCCCCAGTTCCCTGGAAGGGCCTGCTGGGCGCTCACTCCACTCCAGAGCCTTCCTGGTTTCTGTTTTGGGATCCTGTCACCCAACCCAACTCTCCAGTTGCCCAGCTGCCGCTGTTTCTTGCGAGACTGTCAGAGTCACGCGGGTCAAAGCTCCAACTTCCAGCTTCAGAAATTCCAACTCGGGCATGATCAGTGAAGCTTCCCTCGGAGTGGCTGGAGGGACAGCCAGACGGGGCCCAGGCTGCCACTTGTCAGAGGTGTAAATGCCACCCTGAGGCCAACGTCAGCCAACACTGCTCCCTGCAAGACTAAGTCTTGCGGCCTCAGCACAGAAGGACCCCCGCCTACCCCTACACGGAGGTCATGTTCAGCCACACCCCAGCTGCCTACCAGTGAACTCTGGCCGCCCACCCCTCCGTGCCCTGCCCTGCCCTGCAGTGCTCCTCCCTCCTGACCTCTGCACACACTGATCCCTTGACAGAAGCGTCCCCCCTCCCTTGCTATTCAGGATTCAGAGGCCAGCGTCTGTCCCCAGCTGCAGCACAGTAACGGGCACACACAGTAAGATAGTAAGAGATGTCCGCTGATGGCCACCAGTTTCCCAGCAGGCTCAGAGAAGTCACGGGAGGAGGAGCTGCGTGACAGCGTGCACAGGCCCAAGTCTGGGATCCACCTAGTCTCTGGGAACTACGTCTCTCTGCGTTTCTGCCCAACAAGTCCCCATTCCACATGAAGCCCGTGAAACTGAACTCATGCTGTGCGACTGCAATGCCTCGTTACTGTTAGGGACGATGGTGAAGTATTTTGGGATACACATTTGCTTTTAATAAAAAAGAAATTTCCTCCCACAATTGATCCCGTACACGGGGGGCCATGAGCCACGCCTGCTGACTCATTCCTCCAATTCTCAAACACAAGCACGTTTCAGGTCCCAGTGAGATCCATTCACGACTCCTCTGGCACCCGTTCCACCCTCCCCGTCATGCACAGATGATCTTAGTAACCAGAGTAAGAGTCTGCCTGAGACACGAATATTTTTTCCTGGCTCCAAGGGCTAGTGCCAGACAAAGTTCCTCCCTCCACCGGGGAGGGAGGCGAGACTTGAGTCCCTGAGTGGGTGTCTGGGTCCTCATGTGTCCTGCTGAGCAGTGCGGGGCTGTTGCCTCCAGGTCACCACACCTGGCACACCCGGATCACCTCCCTCAGCGCCTTCAGCCCCTCCATGCTTTTGTCCTTCACAGCCACGGCAAGGAGGACGGCTCTGTTTCCAGCTTCTTGAGACACAAATGCTACCAGGTTCTTTGCAAAGACATGGATGAGAGGCTGGTGAAAGGAAGGAGAAGAAACCATTTTAACTGCAAGAAACCTGGTTTTTTCCTCAATGTTTTCATGACGTATCCCTTAGGAACCCAGGCAGGCTTCCCACACCACCATTTACCACCACGTAAGTCCATGCAACCGTGACTCAGCATTCAAGCAGCACTCAGAACACTCCAGTCACAAGCACATTGCTAAAGACGCATCACTCCATTCATTTTCCCAGCGTCTTTCGCAGCCCCGCCTCTTCTGGCTGTCTCTCATCCAAAAGAACCCAGGAAAGACAACCCTGCAGAGGTGAGTGCTGTCGAATCTCACATGTGATTTCTGCAGAGGAGAGCACAGCCAGCGGCCTGCTCATGTAATGTACCATGCGAGGGGAGGTGGCTCGAATGACAAAATTGCTACTTCTGCTTGTCTGCTGGATAAAACACCTGCGGGCTGGACAAAAGCACCCACCAGGGCAAGCAGGGTGCCTTGAGACCCACAAATGCCTGGAAAATGCTATCGCTGTAGGGAGATTTGTCCCCCAGATGCCCCATGTCCTTACCGACAAATCACAGCCACTGAAGAGGTTTATCTTCCTCCCTGGGGGTCCCTTCCTGACCACTTTATTATTATTATTATTATTAGAGACAGAGTCTTGCTCTCTCACCCAGGCTGGAGTGCAGTGGCACAATCATAGCTCACTGCAGCCTCAACCTCCAGGGCTCAAGTGATCCTCCCACCTTAGCCTCCCAAGTAGCTGGGACCACAGGCACATACCATCAGGCCCAGCCAATTTTTTCTTTTTTCTTTCTTTCTTTTTCTTTTTCTTTTTTTTTTTTTGAGGCAGAGTCTCTATCTGTTACCCAGGCTGGAGTGCTGTGGCACGATCTTGGCTCACTGCAATCCCCGCCTCTCAGGTTCAGGCGATTCTTGTGCCTCAGCCTCCTGAGTAGCTGAGATTACAGGCATGTGCCACCACACCCAGCTAGTTTTTATATCTTTAGTAGAAATGGGGTTTCGCCATGTTGGCCAGGCTGGTCTGGAACTCCTGACCTCAAGTGATCTGCTCACCTCAGACTCCCAAAGTGCTAGGATTACAGGTGTGAGCCACTGCACCCAGCCTCTCTCTCGCTATATATTTTTTGTAGGCACTTGTGATTTTGTGAAGACGTGTGTGTGTTGTGTTGCCCAGGCTGGTCTCAAACTCCTGGCCTCAAGCGATCTGCCTGCCCAGGCCTCGGAAAGCGCTAGGGTTAGAGGCGTGAGCCACAGTTTCCAGCCAATCCACTTTACCTCATCCTGCCCCAGAAGGACTTTCGTGGTGAGCACAGGCTTGCTGACGTCACTGGCCACGCTGCTGGGCTCCAGGGAGACCAAGGTACCCATCTTCCCGAACTGGGTCACCACCACCAGGATGTGACTGCTGAAGGCCGTGCACACCACTTGGGTGGGGACCCCGCACACCACCTCCGTCTTCTGTTTTGATATCACCAACGGCGTGTCTTCCATGGCGGGGCAGTGGCAGCTTTGATTTAGGTTAAAAAGAAAGGGGGGAAAAAGGAGTCAATCAAACAGTACAGCCTTGGGGTTCCCAAAAAAGTAGCACCAGGCATTGAAACAGAAACGCAAGGAGGTCCATTCAAAAGAAGGGGCCAGGCGCGGTGGCTCATGCCTGTCATCCCAGCACTTCGGGAGGCCGAGACAGGAGGATCACTTGAGGCCAAGAGTGCGAGACCAGCCTGGCCAACACGGCGAGACCCCCATCTCTACAAAAAAAAATATATATTAAAAATCAGCTGGGTGCGCCTGTGGTCCCAGTTACTCAGGAGGCTAAGGCGGGAGGATCGCTTCAGCCCGGGAGGTCGAGGCTGCAGTGAGCCGTGATCACACCACTGCACTCCAGCCCGGGCGGCAGAGCGATACCCCGTCCCTGAAAACTAAAACATAAGCAGGAGCGGGGCCGCCCGTATAGACTGCGCCTGGGGCTTTCTGGGTTAGGGGATCGACTTGCACGTTCACATTGCCAGGCCAGGCAGTGGCTTCCCGCCCCTCGGCCTCGCCGCTGCCCCGGCCCTGCAGCCGCGGGCCCGGGCCCCCCACGACACGCGGTGCCCGAGGCCTGGCGACACGGGAGGTACGCAATCGCCCGAGGGCAACAGCGATCCCGCGCTCACAGCCGGCGCCGCGCCCGGAGTAGGCTGCGTTCGCCACGCGAGTCCCGCCCTGTCGCAGGTTCCGTCCACCCTTTACCGGAATAAGGGCAGCCGGCGCTTCTGTCCACCAGGACTTTGAGGCTCCCCGGCTTCCTGAGCGCTTCGGTTCCGCGCTGCCGGAGGGCATGAGGGCGCCTTAGAGCCCGAAGCCGTTTTCTCAGGAAAGGGCGCTGCGACCCGCCCCCGTCCCGGGCCTCAGCCCTCTGCTGCAGACCCTCGGATCCTCGATGGTGGGAGCTCTGCCCCCCGCTGTCTGTGTCCAGGACCCCCCGAAGCGCAGTGCCTAGGAACCCCTGGCGCTGCCGAGCCCGGCCCTGCTGACACGGCTTTGGCTGATCACATCGTCACCACAGCGAACGCTTGTTTGGCACCGAGTGTGCGCCAGGCATCGTTCTAAGCTCTTTATACCCATAACTCATTTCATCTCAGCCACCGGGTTTAGTAGAAGCGTTTCATCCGCGTTTTACAGACGTGTGCAGGTGCAGAGAGCTTGGCCAGGCTCAGGCAGCTGGCGGGCTGGGGTTGGCTTCGAACCCCATGCCTTGGTCGCTCCGTGACACGAAGCCCTGGCAAAGGCCAAGAAGGGGGCCAGCTCCATCCTGAAGCAGGATGAGTTCTGGTTCCTCCCAGGGACCCCCCTCACTCCCTACTGCCCAGCCTCAGTTTCTCCAGGCTGGAAGGATTTTTGTTTTGTTTGAGACGGAGTCTTGCTGTGTCACCCAGGCTGGAGTGAGGTGGCCCAATCTCAGTTCACTACACCTCCGCCTCCTGGGTTCAAGCAATTCTCCTGCCTCAGCCTCCTGTGTAGCTGGGATTACAGGCATGCGCCACCAGGCCTGGCTAATTTTTTTAATCTTTATTTTTAGTAGAGATGGGGTTTCACCATGTTGGTCAGGTTGGCCTTGAACTCCTGACCTCAGGTGATCCGCCCTCCTTGGCCTCCCAAAGTGCTGGGATCACAGGTGTGAGCCACCACATCGGGCTGCTGGAAGTTTTGTTGGCAGGATCGGGCATCTTTAGCAGAGGCTGAAAGTGATTGGAGCCTCCAGAGCCTTCCTCGGCGGGGGTTAACACCCCTTCAGAGCCCCAGCGTCAGAGGCCTTTCTGTCGTTTCCTGACAGCCGGGTCAAGGCCGTATTTTCTGTCTGTATTACCCGAAAGGGGTCCTGATCCAAACCCCAAGAGAGAATTCAGGGTGAGTCCATAAAGTGAAAGCAAGTTTATTAGAAAAATAAAGGAATTGAGGCAGGAAAATAGGGTCTGAAGGCAGGGAACACTTCAGCCGTGACAGGAAATGTCCCCTCCACAGGGTGTACACGGAGTAAATGATTTTGTAACTTTACTCCATCCTCTTCATTTACATAGGGCGTACACCAAGTAACCAGTAGAAACCCCTAGAGAGTATTTAAACCCCCGCAAGTTCTGTAACAGGGCGCTTGAGCCCCCATACTTGGGCCTCCCCACACTATGAGGTGTGCTTTCGTTTTCAAAAAAATCTCTGCTTTTGGCCGGGCGCGGTGGCTCAAGCCTGTAATCCCAGCACTTTGGGAGGCTGAGACGGGCGGATCATGAGGTCAGGAAGAATCGGAGACATCCTGGTAACACGGTGAACCCCGTTCTATAAAAATATAAAAAAACTAGCCAGGCGAGGTGCGCGGGTGCCTGGTAGTCCCAGCTACTCGGGAGGGCTTGAGGCAGGGAGAATGGGGTAACCCGGGAGGCGGAGCTTGCAGTGAGCTGAGATCCGGGCCACTGCACTCCAGCCTGGGCGGACAGAGGTGAGACTCCCTCTCAGGAAAAACAAACAAGCAAAAACAAAACAAAACAAAACCTCTGCTTTTGTTGCTTCATTCTTTTCTTGCTTTTGTGCATTTTTTTTTTTCTTTTTTTTGAGACGGAGCTCGGAGTTCATGCTCTGTCGGTCCAGGGCTGCAGTGCAGTGGTGCCATCTTGGCTCACTTGCAACCTCTGCCTCCCAGGTTTCAAGCAATTCTCCTGCCTCAGCCTCCTGAGTAGCTGAGATAACAGATGTGCGTCACCATGCCCGGCTAACTTTGTTATTTTTAGTAGAGATGAGGTTTCCCATGTTGGCCAGGTGGTCTTGAATCCTTGACCTCAGGTGATCTCGCCGCCTCAGCCTTCCCAAAGTGCTGGGATTACAGGTGGAGGTCACCACGTCCTGGTCGCTTTGTGCGTTTTGTCCATTCTTTGTTCAAGATGCCAAGAACTGGACACCCTCCAATGGGAATAAAAAGAATGGCTACTCCATAGGGCAGGCCAGCCCAAGGGCTGTGGGTGTGCCCATTTTTGTGGTTATTTCTTGATGATATGCTAACAAGGGGTGGATTATTCGTGCCTCCCGCCCCCCTTTTTTTTTTTTTTGAGACGGGAAGTCTCGCGCTCTGTACCAGGCTGCAGTACAGTGGCTGGATCTCCGGCCGTGCCTCCCCTTTTTAAACCCTTTATGGTAATGTCCTGGTGTTGCTATGGCATTTGTAAACTGTCATGGTGCTGGTGGGAGTGTAGCAGCCAGGATGACCAGAGGTCACACTCATGGCCATGTTGGTTTTGGTGGGTTTTGGCCGGCTTCTTTACTGCAAACTGTTTTATCAGCAAGCTCTTTATGACCTGTAGCTTGTGCCGACCTCCTATCTCATCCTGTGACATAGAATGTCTTAACTGTCTGGGAATGCAGCCCAGCAGATCTCGGCCTCATTTTACCCAGCCCCTACTGAAGATAGAGTTGCTCTGGTTCAAACACCTCTGACATTTACACCAGCGAAGCCCCTAGGAGGATCTTGACTCCCTCTTCTCATCGTTGGATGACTTCGTATCCAATCCAAGTCAAGTCAAATGAAGCACGCTCCTTCCAATGATGATTTCTGGAAGCCTAAAATAAAAGGCATGCATACAGAAAATGATCAAAATAGGCATCAATCAAGGGGAAATTCATTTTTGAGCATTCTTGCAGCCAGTACACAAAAGGAGAGATGATGAGTTTCATGGTTCTAATACTCAAAAAACAGGAAGCATATCAACTTCCCAGGAAAGTCTAAGTTTCTGTCGGCTCTAAATTTAAACACACATCCACCCACACATACCCCACAAGCAAATTGCCAGTGGATTGCTTTGCCATCTGAAATCTTCAAAAGGTTCACTAGCTTTTATTCACCTGTTTCTTCATTCTCCCTCTCTGTAGGCAAATAGATACAAGAAATCTGATCCTGCCCCCTGAAAGAAAACCCTCTGAAATAAACTTATCACCTTTATAAAAGGGATGTTGAAGAACAACATGGATGCTGGGTTTGTTGTTGTTGTTTTTTGAGATGGAGCCTCACTCTTGTCATCCAGGCTGGAGTGCAGTGGCGTGATCTCAGCTCACTGCAACTCCACCTCCTGATTTAGGCATTCCTCCTGGCCTCAGCCTCAGAGTACCGCTAGGATATAGGACCACCTCGCACCCTCCACCAGCTAATTTTTGGTATTTTTAGTAGAGACGGGTCCATGGGCCGGCTGGTCTCGTCCTCCTGACCTCAGGTATCCGCGCCCCTCACCTCCCAAGTCTGAGAATTTATAGATGTGACCCATTGCACCCGGCCTTGGGGATGTTTTTTTGATAACAACTGTAAGCACAATATGTAGGGACTAGGTTTGGTTGGTTTGGGTCCTGATCCAAGGATAAAGACAGTAGGAAAGAAATGAGAGGTGGAGTGTCCTAGGCTGAGGTGGTGGTCAGGGACACTTCTGGAGCCCGAATGGATGGCCTGGCAGAATTATATATCCTTAAAGAATGGAAAGAGACCTTCATTGCATTGCAGTGACCTGTCCTCCAGTACCCAAGGGGTAACTGACTGAAAAAAGAGAAGCCCTCCCTCTAATTAAAATCGGGAAGTCAACAGTGGAAGTGGTGTCCAATTGTGGGACAAGAGTATGGAGAGTTTATTTTGAAAAGGAATAAAAAAAAGCCAAGTATTTCAAATTGTTTATTTCAATAACTTGTAGGATGATAAATGCCAGGGGTGTTCATTCGAGAACCAGCCAAAGAATTAGTCCAAGGGCATTTGGCCAGGAAATTGGTATGTTTTTCAGACATTGTATGATCCGCTAGACCCGTTATCCTTCCTGTTGTGTGTGATTTTCCCAAGCTTCCAGATGGAAGAAGATTGATTTACAAAAACGGGCAAGGAACCATCAATTTCCCCGAGTCTCTCTCTCTCTCTTTTTTTAAGACAGATTTTGCTGTGTCTCCAGGCTGGATGCGTGCGTGAAGGCTCTTTGGCTCCCTGCAACCTCCTCACTGGTTCAAGCATCTTCTCCCTGCTCCACCCCCCAAGCAGCTGGGAATTACCAGGTGTGCGCCACCACGCCCAGCTACTGTTTGGTATTTTTAATACAGATGGAGTCTCCTATGTTGGTCCAGGCTGGTCTCGAACTGCTGACCTCAAGGTGATCCGCCACCCACAGCCCTCCCAAAGTGCATGGAATAACAGGTGTGAAGCCACCGTGCCTGTCTAGATTCCTAAGAACCTACGCCTCTTGGAAGATAGAAGTTTGGCTTTGCCAACTGAATGATGCTTTGTACTTGCCACAACCTCCATGACATGCTCTCCCATCTCTCAACAAGGAAATTCCGGGAGCTTTGCCGGAGGGGTTTGTGAGTGGGAGACCCCGTGAGTAAACCGTTTTTGCTGTTACGATGTTTTTCGTTTTCCTCATGCAGCCCCCCTGGGTAATGACCAGGAACCTCAGCAGTCCTGGTCTTTCAGACCAGGAGACTCAGGTAACAGCAATCTAGATTTGGGTAAAACTTTGGCATAGAATCAACTTCCTTGGCCTGTTAATGTTTGAGCAACTTGCCATCAGGTTTCTCAGCTTAAAATGAAAAGATGAAAAATGAGGTGCCGTCTCTTGGATTTTAGAGGGCAGCCCATGCACTGCAGTTCACTGGAACATCATACCGAACCGTTCAATTATTTTATCTTTTTTTTTT